TGGGGGCTAAATCTCCCTTCAACAGGTCATTCAGCGGTCTAACAACCCGGGCGTAGTCATTCACAAACCGACGATAATACCCTGTGAAACCTAGGAATGATCTGAGTTCTTTTGCAGTCTGGGGCCGTGGCCACTCTTTAACTGCAACAACCTTATCTGGGTCTGGTTGTATGCCCTCAGCGGATATCACATGCCCTAGATATCTCACTGAAGTCTGGAAGAATTTGCATTTGGCAGGTGACAGTTTGAGTCCAAAATCAGCTATGCGTTTCAGAACTTTCATCACCCTTTCCTCATGCTCCTCCAGAGAACTCGAAAATATTATGAGGTCATCCAAGAAAGCAATCACCTCTTGGAGATTTATACCCTCCATTACTTTCTCCATAGTCCGTTGAAATGTTGCTGGTGAGTTGGTCAGCCCTTGGGGCATCCTCCGGAACTGCCATGTGCCGAATGGTGTTGTGAATGCAGTTTTTGGTCGATCCGAAGGCTCAACTTCCAGCTGATAATATCCACTCTTAAGATCAAGGACAGTAAACCATTTTGAGCCAGACAACAGTGTGAATGTCTCCTCTATACGAGGCAGTGGGTAGGCATCTTTCTTAGTTAGACTGTTAAGCCGCCTGTAATCTACCACCATTCGTAAGTCCCCATTTTTTTTTCTAACCAGCACAACAGGGGAGGCATAGGGGCTATGAGATTCCTCTATGATGCCTGCCGCTAAGAGATCTTCAAGATGCCTTTGCAAATCTTTAAAGTCTGCAGGCGACACACGCCTAGTTCTCTCTTTGAATGGAACATGGGATTCCATCTCAATCCGATGTTTGATCCCTGTTATCTTGCCAACGTCTAAATCATGCCTGGAAAATGCCTGGGGCACTTCTTTGGCTATTCTAGCTTGTATGTGCTGTTTTACTTGTGAAGATATGGGGCTGTCACTGAAATCTAAATCCAGCTGTTCATCAACAGCATCAGTCCCTTCTTTGTGTGAGACCAACAGGGAATTGGCCTGTAACGGAGTAGCATTTAGTAGGTCCTTTTCTTTAGATGGTACAAGGGGCACCACCCAATCCAGAGGAGAACATTCTGCTATTACTGTTTTTGGGTACAAGGTGATATCGTGTCCAGACAAGTTTTTGACATCAAGTTTGAACTTGTTGTAGGACTCGGGCGTTATATCCACTATTTGATCATAGACGATTAGTCCGCCTGGAGTGGAATGTTGCTCAGAGCCCTCAATGAGAGCTTGAAACCTTTCACCTCTGGGTTTACTGCGGCAAATGCCTTTCAAAGTACGAGTCGCACCTTGTTTCAAAATCACAGGTACTGTGCTGCAAAGTGTTACATGCAGAACTTTAGCATGTTTCGCATGGACGTCAGGTTCTCCAAACTTCGTCTGTTACCCCCCCAAAAAATTCCTTCAGAGCATGTGTTACCCCCCTTGCAGGTATGATTTACGTACCTGTCACAAACTGTCGTAAAAAATTATAATTCCCCGCACAGCGCAGTACCACACATACAGCTGGGTTACAATAACAGCATCACCGTGAACTGCCAGGCCAGTTAATCATTAATCATTTTGAGAGTGACAGGAAACTTAACCTGCTGCGGTTGAATCTCCATTGGATCACAGATTATTAACGCACGAATCCGGAACCAGAGTCGAGCCGGGTGGTGGGCGGGACTGTGGAGCTAAACAAAATGTTCTCGTTAACACTGCGCGTCTTTGTGCGCCCGGACCGTGCAACGGCTTAACAAACATGACCGACTATGAAGACGCGACCGCCTTCCTCGGAGAATGGGGCCGTTTTCAGCAACAGGTGTTCTTCTTCCTCTGTCTGAGCACCATCCCCCAGCCTCTCCATCGTGTTCCTCGGCGACACGCCGCCCCACCGCTGCCGCGTCCCCGAGCACGTCAACCTGAGCGCGGCATGGAGGAACAGCAGCATCCCCATGGAGCCAGACAGCCACGGCGGCGCACTGGTGCCCAGCGAGTGCTCCAGATACAAGCTGGATGATTTACTGGGTTTCTCTCAGAGAGGACTGTTTCCCGACGTTGACGTTAATCTGTCCACTGTGCCACAGGAAGGCTGCTTAGACGGATGGGAGTATGACCGGAGCGTGTACACGTCCACCATCGTGTCTGAGGTTTGTGCTCCTCTGAGTGAGGCTGCAGATGTGGAGGGCACTTTGCGTCTTGGTGCACAGACTGTAGGCTCTGTCAAATACAAGGTTGCTCTGAGTGATCATCTTTATCCTGTGATGAAGTTACTAGTAGTTACGGTAGTTTGCCTGTGATATTTAACCATATAAATTTTTATATAGTTAATTTGTCTGCGTACTCTGGTAAAAGGCACTTGGATTTTAGTTACTCACTGTTTACCCTTTTAAATAGTGAAGCTTGACTGGTGTCAAATTCACCCTAAACAAAAGTAATTACTTTTTTTTACTTTTATTTTAAATCTTTATTTTTTTTATTTGACATCTTTGAATACCAATAACAAAGACACATTTGTGGATTTTATTGCCTTTCGGAAAACGTTCTTGCCTACTTCATGAAAAAAACAAATGGGTAGTGGTCCAATTATTTTAAATGTGTGGGGCTTTAACAAGCTCAGGAGACCTTGAAAAAATATAGGATTTTTTTTAGTGGTCAACTTAAACATTTGATTATTATTTTCACTCTTAAATTGTTGGGATCAATATGACCCCGGCCAGTGCAGTGTGAAGTGAACCTGAGCAGAACACAAGGGTTTTAATTTGCAGTGACTCCACTTTCTGTGGGTGGACAAATGGACCCAAACCACAACAGCAAAATGCCTCCTGGAGCACACCAGAGCCACAGGATCCCATCACTATCGGGGTTAGGTATTCAGGCTTTTCACCTGTTTGTCACCAGTCAGGATCTTGTCCAAGAAAAACAAAGAGGAGTGCATAAAAAAGAATGATTGAAATGGCCCTGATAAAAAAAGCACTCTGCTGTTACTGACAATTATTTATGAGCAGAGGCCCTTGGCCACAGCTTTCTCTGATATCCAAACATGTTTGCACATAACCATGTGATCCATATTTATTTATTCAGGCAAGAGTACTTGTACTTCAGTTTGTGTGTTAGAATTTTGGATGAAACCAGAAAAGATAAATAAACTGCACAACTCAATCCTGCTAAATAAACTCAGACAAAAGTAGGTTCATTCTGCCTCTTACGGTGTAAAACTTGACTGGTGTTTGTACTGGACTCACTGGGAGCTGTGGTCTTGAACCCACTGAGCTGCTCTGCTCCTCCTCTTGGTTGTCTGCACAGTTTTGGGGCCATTGGCCTGGACTTTAGGAAATTCTAACAGGTGCTCTTCAAGTTGACTTGACATGTTATAGACCAAAACAACTAAGGAAAGTGATCAACAGATTAATTAATGCTGAAAATAACGGTTAGTTGCAATCCCAGTTATTTATTGCCCTTAATGCACATGGCTGGATTTTTTTTTTCTTGCTAAGGAATCAACACTTTGTGTACTTGATATTCCTTAATCCACTCTGCTACATTTGTGTGTGTGTGTGTGTGTGCACAGTGGGACCTGGTGTGTGATAACAGGTGGAAGAAGCCGATGACTTCTTCTGTCTTCTTCTGTGGAGTTCTCACTGGCTCGTTCATTTCAGGACAGCTCTCTGACAGGTTAAAGACCAAAGATGAACTTTAGCTCTTCCAAAAACAGACATGTCACTTAACACGCGCCTAGAGTAGTTTTCTATTAAAAAGTGAATGCAGATGTAAAGTGCTGTCTGAAAATGAAGCAACATTATTTTCAGTGCTGCAGTAATTGATTTTTGATTATTTGAGGTAGAGGATCTCCAGAACGAGTTAACAGATACACACGATTGACGGGTTAATGTGCTAGAGACAAATCTCCTACTTACACATCCTGCAAAAACAAAGCAACCTTATCAACATTTTCTGGGCACTTACTGCGCATGTAGCCATAGTGCAAAAACACACAGGTAATTATGGTGGTGTGAATTTTAATCACCTTCCTATCTACAGTACATAGGGTACTGTTTGGCTTATTCACCTGTGCTTTATATCCTCCATAGGTATGGGAGGAAAATCGTGCTGTTTGTTAACACTGCAGTGCAGGCAGTGTTCATGTTCCTCCAGTTCTTTTCTCCATCCTGGACCATGTTCTGCGCTGCACACTTCATTGTCGGGTTGGGACATATCTCCAACTATGTGGCTGCGTTCGTACTAGGTAATTTTATTCCCCTCTACTTACTGAGTGTCAGATCATTTTAGGTAAAAGGCTGAAAGTACACATGTAATGTACTCCTCGTGTTTTCAATCCCTTCATTTCTCTTGTGCTAAGGAACTGAGATATTAGGGCCACGAGTTCGGATAATCTTCTCCACTGCGGGTGTTTGCCTGTTCTTTAGTTTGGGCTACATGTTGCTGCCACTGTTGGCTTTCTTCATCAGAGAGTGGAGGATGCTTCTCCTGGGACTCTCCCTGCCTGGGTTCCTCTGTCTGCCCCTCTGGTGGTAGGTATGCGTTTGTTGGCTTGTGTGTGTCTGTGTGGGTGTTTTTTCCTACACATTTTGCCATCTATTATGTTAAATGAAAATGCAGACTGGTGTACAGAGGGCCTGATACCAGTACAAGTGGTAGGGGTGTGTTCCACTGTTGATCATTCTCTTCTCTTGTGATGTTTATTAGATTTGAACAGATGAAAATGAGCTTTACTGATGATCCCTATCCGATTTTACATTTTCCCTATTTATGAAACTAGCATCGGTTCTGCAGTTCTAGACCTGACATGTTAGGGAGCCAAATCAACTACTAGTTGAACAATCAATTAGTTTTTTTAACAGCAATTTAATCTAAGACTACTTTGATAATTAAGCATTTAAGTCATATTTTACAAACACACATTCCAAAAATGATACTTTCATGTTACCAGTTGTGAATGTTTGCAAGTTTTCTCAGTTTCCTTTAGTTTTTCATTCAGTAAATATTTTGTGGGTTTGTTATGTCTACTCGGACACAGAAGAGAGAGAGTAAAGCTAGGCGGACCCAGGTAGCTGACTTCGGTGCAAGCAGTACTAAATTTATTTACAGTGAGAATAAAGTCAACAAGAAAAAAGGCAAGTGTAGAATGATGGGAGTAACTGGGTGTTGATCAGCAGCAGAGAAACCAGTTTGTGGTGAGACGGATGGGAGATGTGTGGGCTGCGGACGCTGGAGTCACTCCAGAGCTGGTGGACGAGGAGATGGTGGTGACTGTGGAGACAGAAGGCAGGAGTTTGTACAGATGGACTACGGTGACTGTGCATTGACCTGAAATGGTGGAGACTGGAAGAGCAGAGTAGGTCCAGGGTCCGGAGGAGAAGTCCGTGGAGGAGGAAAACAGCAGACGGAGAGTGTGGTAATGGAGAGTGGAAGATAGTACTGGTAGGAGCTAGGAGAACTAAGGGTGAGAGACAAACGGTTAAATACACAAACATACATGATCGAACGGGCCTGAGAACAAGATTAAACTGGCAAGGGAGTGATAGGTGAGCGGGGTATAAGTAAGGATAGAACTAATGAAGTGCAGCTGGTGACAATCAGGGGATGTGGAGCAGGTGTGCCAGGTGATGTAAACGGGGCCAAAAAAGAGGAATAGAGTGAGAGAGGCAGGTGCAGTCGGGCAAATCTGACAGGGTTTTGTACTTTTGTTCAAACCAAGTCACTTGAAGTGCCCACTTGGATACCTTGCAACAGACTTTTTTGTTTTAATTTTATAGATAAAAGACAATAATTGAGATTTATTAACAATAAAAGTCATCAATAATTGCATGATTTTAATCAAAGGATAAATCAAGGTACAGTGTCTTACTAAGGTGTTGGGTCACCTATAAAAGACTGCGAGTCACTCGCCCCCTGGTGGCTGGTTGCTGTTTAGGTCCTAAATCCTGCCCCCTCCATGTTAGTGTATGGGACATGAATGGAACTAAAAACTAAAAGTACAAATACATTTTTCCCAGAAATAATTTCTGTCATACAGTATTTGGTAGATACTATCAGGTTTATGTGTGTACAAATGGTCATTTTCTGGTTTGTTTTTAACAAGTTATTTTATGATACTATATATAAATGGGTGTATTTTGGATGATTTGACAGCTTTGATTGGTGGCCTGAAATGTCACTCAACTACTGAGGCATTACTGCATAGACTGGTTGCAAAATTCCAAAATGGCAGCTGCTGTATTCACTATATTTTGGCTTTGCTTTTGCATAGAGGAAGGAAGTGGTAATGTGTCATTCATACTGTACATAGCCAATGGTGCCACCAGAGCAGCGTCAGTGTGCCTTGGCATTGATTCTACAAGTCTCTGATACTCAACCAGAAGAATGAACACCAGGCTTTGCTTCTATGGAGGCACTCAGTTCTGTTTTGTTGTACAGTAGTTTTCCTCTATTGTGAGGAATTGAATCTTCTCTCTGCCCACTCTGTTGTCTAATGAGACAGGTTCATCCCAGAGTCTCCTCGGTGGTTGCTCTCTCGAGGAAGAATAGACGAGGCTGACGCCATAGTGAGAGATGCTGCAAAGAAGAACAAGATTGAGCCTCCACTGGTCATTTTTAGTCCCTTGCAGGTGAGATCTCACTGACAAACTGGTTTATAAGTGCATAAACACCAATGTTCAAGGTACATTCCTGCCTGCAGCAGTAACCAGATGGTTTTGGGGAAGGGAGAGGGGAGTTAAATCAGTCATTTCATATAACTAGCAGTGACTGCCTCTCAGGGTTTGGTTTATCATGGTAGTATTTTTACTTTCATGACAGAAAATACTGGCATACAGTATAATCCCTTTACCATGTGGTCAGAAGGTGTATTGTTAAGTGTGACAGCAACTTTAACGTTATTGTTCCCACTCTTAAAACGAGGTTCGACCGTACTTGCTTGAAGATAGTGACTGGTTGTTTAAATCTTGCAGTTCTTCTGCTCTTTGAAAATCATCACTGATTTACAGGCTTATCTCAAAAGGCCTATATCACTTAAGGTCCCTGACAGTCACAATAATACAGACCAAAGTCTGCCTCATAAAGCACTTTGTAATGTAGATCCTGAAAAGTGCTCTATAAATTATTTCTACGGATACTGTACATCTGTTACTTTATAACCCTTATAATACCTAAGCCATTAACCAGTCCACACATTTTTCTCTGTTTATCCTGGTTTATAAGTGTAAATAAGAGCAAACGTTTTAGGGTTCATTTCTCAGTGTCATGTATTCATTTACTGTTCTGCACAGGAACACTTTGTTAAGGCTAACTGGACCTTTCAACTGTGAACTTTCTTCTAGGAACAATACCGTGACCCTTCTCCTGCATCTGCATGTTCCTCCTTGGAAAAAAGGCAGCTGGCCCAGGCTCACCCAGTCAGTATCAGTTTGAAGGATGAATGCTTTAGAGACTTTCAGAGTTATACTGCATAATAGACCAGCACTATGCTTATGTATGCATGTCCTAAATGTCACTTTATTGTTATGTAGGAACATTATTTGAATTATTGATATGCCTAGAGGCAAGTAAACATTTTGTTTTTACCATTTAGGGATGTAATAATACCAAAAACACATGGTATGGTATTGCCACAACAAAAAGTCCACAGTACGATATTTATCACAATATAAATAATGAAGAAAAAAGATGCTAAACTCCCTTTACTAAATAATAAATTGGCAATAAAGTGCTTCTGCGTTCCTTCTATGAAATAAAATAAAATATTTTTGCAGCAACTGGATCTTGTAAACACACACGGTGGAACATCAGTGTTTTAGTAGGTGAGATTTGTACTTTATCGGAGGTGTTTTTCAAACAACGTGACCTACTTTTTCAAGAGAAATTACTTGAAGGGTGGTTACTAAGTGATTGGTTTTGCATTAAAGCATTGTGCACGGTTGTGTCCCAACTGTTTCTGCGAGATGTATCGAGGACTCAGTCCTAAATGGGGCTAGTCTTACCTTTGTCCGGACGTTTTTGAAAATTGTTCAGCACTTGTTAGTTTCCTTTTCGCACGTGTCATTTCTTGAAATGGGAAAATTGAAATGCATCTGCTACATCAGTTTCAAACTCTGTGACCTGAACGCAGTTATAGTAGAGTAATAACCATATGGACTACGCTGGTAGATGCTGTCCCACTGTAGTATTGAGAAATGTTTCCATCGCGATATCGTGAAATTACAAATATCGTTTGTTTTGTCAGTTTGTAAAACAGTGGTTTATGCAGAGTTGGATATTTTTTCCCCATCTTTAGCAACATTGAAGCTGCAGGCTGAATTCCTGGTTATTTCCCAATGAAAGCGGCAGAATCCAGAGCTGCAGGTTCAACAAACTGCAAAGAAAGCAGTGATGCATGAATATCTTAATTATATATACAATATAATGAATAGAGCAGGGTTAACAAAGGATAGTTGTTTTTTGTATTCTTGGGTGATCTTATATTTAGACTAGGTGTTCATTCTTTTGGCTTTAAACTCTTTTACTTGACTCCAGAAGAGCCATGCACAAGAATTCCTATATGCCTAGACTGTCTGTTTATGCATAAATGGCAAATAACAATCTTGAATCTTGATAGTATGACAAAATGCGAATGAGGTATTAAAAACACCTTTCTAATTATTACAAGCATTTTAAAACTTTTGCCTCATTTCTGATCCTCGTATCTGGATGTGTTCACTCAGAGTGGCTCCTCTCCACTGAAATTCTTTCTAGATGGATGGCTGTTAAATATTTGTTGTTCCCTTTGCTCTGTGGCCCCACAGAAAGAACTTAAGTCTGAGAAGACAAAGACACACAACATCTGTGACCTGCTACGTACTGCAAATATCCGCGGGATCACCATCCTGCTGTGGCTGGTCTGGTGAGTTCCTGCTGTCCCATCTGACCTCCACATTCAGTACACTGACCCTGCATGCAAAGAATACACACACACACACACACACACACACCATTACAGACATACAGTACATATACACCCAGTTTCAGACTGTTCATGCATCACATCAGACCATTTCACTAACAACAAATAATGACCTGTCAGGTGCTACGGCTACCATCAAAGTCAGATGTAACCGCACAGTATGACTGTATTCTTCCTGTGCTCACATCTTTGCTGGGTCCGAAGACAGATGCAGGTTTAGTTTTGATTTAGAAATAGTTTAGTCTTACATAAAAAAAGCTAATCATGAACAGGTGGATACTTTCTTACATGTCGCTGTCATCTGCAGTTGAAGGACCTTACACAGTCAAAAAAGTCAAGGACACAAAAGTCAAATATTTCCCTTTCACAGATTATGTTTACATTTATTAGAAATGTCAGTTTCTAGACAAGAAACACTGCTTAAAATGATTTGGGTACTCGTGTTTCTGATTACACTGTAGTTTAATTTACCTATACAGGGTGATAAGCACCTTCTACTGTCTTACATTGAACA